GGTCCTTTCTCCTCGCTGGTCACCCTTCTCTGGGCCCAGCGCATGCCCTGTGTGCACATTTTGACCCTCCCTAGTGTTAGCTAATCCACCCAGGGGCCTCCAGAGGCACGGGATTTCAGGAATAAGTCGCTGAGTGGTTGCCTTCCTTTCACTGACGTGGAACCTTTGGTTTGTCCTGGTCACCCAGCTCCTCAAGGACATAGTTGGGCCACTTGTGCAGGGCCAGGGTGACATGGCATGGGAGCTCAGGGAGAGTGGGAGGGACCCTGCTCCACCTGCTCTGTCACTCAATGTTTGCCCTTGGTCTTTTGTTAGACACCCTCTGTGTGTTTGCGTCTGGGGGACAGTAACAAAGGCATCCAGCTCGTAGGGTTGACAGAGAAGTGAGGTGCTGTTTACCCCTTAAGGTTTTGATGACAATGATTAATAATTGTTAACTGACTATTAATGACCAGCCAGCACTTTATGTTGATTACCTCATTTGGTCTGCACAACCGCCTTCCCCATTTTACAGATGAGGAAGCTGAGGCACAGAGAAGTTAAAGCACTTTCCAAGGTCACAGATCCAAAAAGTGGATTCGGGGTTCAAACCCTGCTCCTAACTCCCCAACGAGCCCCTGCGCCTCACGGCCTCCAGCAGGCCATCCATGAGGCTCCTGTGAGCGCCTGCACTTCTTTTTTTTAATTGTGGCAAAATATACACAGCATGAAGTCTGCCACTTTCACCACTTTCACCATTTCCAAGTGCACAGTTCAGTGGCATTGAGCGCATTCACATTGTTGTGCAACCGTCACCACCACCATCTCCAGAACGTTCCCATCTTCCCAAACTGAAATTCTGTCCCCACTAAACACCCCGTCCACACACCCCAAGTTCCTGGCACGACCCTTCTACTTCCGTCTATGAGTACATGCCCTTGATCGGAATCGAACCTGGGACCCTTCAGTCCGCAGGCTGATGCTCTACCCACTGAGCCACACCGGTTAGGACGGCACTTCTTTTTTTTAATTGTGGCAAAATATACACAACATGAAGTCTACCACTTTCACCATTTCCAAGTGCACAGTTCAGTGGCATTGAGCACATTCACATTGTTGTGCAACCGTCACCACTACCATCTCCAGAACGTTCCCATCTTCCCAAACTGAAATTCTGTCCCCACTAAACACCCCGCCCACACACCCCAAGTTCCTGGCACGACCCTTCTACTTCCGTCTATGAATCTGACTCCCCTAGGGCCTCGTGTAAATGGGTTCATGGAGTATTTGTTGTTTTGTGACTGGCTTATCTCCCAGCATGATGTCCTCAGGTCCGTCTCTGCCGTAGCCTGTGTCAGGTTCCGTCTTTCTAAGGCTGAGTCATACTCCACTGCATGGACCCACCTTTATTTGTCCATCATGCCTTTGCTCTCTAACTTTCACTCCATCCTTATCTCCAAGTCCAGCCTCCCTTGAGGGGAAGCAGTGGTGTGGGGGCAGGGTGGTTGGTCTCCTTCCTTTGCAGGGGATCCTTGGTTTGGGAGGGGCTGCCATCCTTAGCACCCCAGCCTCGGCAAAACCCAGGAGTCGTCTTGGTAGGTTCCAGTGGGGTGGCCATATTCAGCAAAATAACCTATGGGCTGCTAGTTAAATTTGAATTTCAGATCATTGGCCTGACCTCCCCTAGTATAGATATGTCCCATGCAGTGTGCCCTAGAAAAGTGTGTGTTGTGCATGTGAAATGCAGGTTTAACTGGGCGTCCTGCGTTTTATCTGGCAGCCCCACCCCCAGCTCACAAGTAGAAGGGGCAGTAAGGCAGGAATGAGCTTTGCAGGTGAGAGTCCTTGCAATGGCAGCCCGTTGCCAGCTTGAGGGGCTGCGGAAAGGCCACTGTCCCAGGAGCAGTCTGGCCTTGTTAAGGGCCACTCCCCACAGGCCAGCCTCCGCCCAGCACGGGCCACGCTGGGATGCTGAGTGACACAGTCAGCCACTGCCTTTGCCTGGCCCTCCACGGCTGTCCTCTGCTGGCAGCCAGTTGACTGATCCTGGGTTGGTGGTGCAGTGGGTGCTGTGGGCATGGAGGCGCACTGCCTCCTTGGGGAGAAGGTGCGCTCTGCCCAGAACGGGCCATGCCGCCTGAGGGGGAGGAGGGCAGAGGGTGCCCCGAGTCAGGGCAGCTTCCAGTGTTGATGGCAGTGGGCCTACTCCCTACCTTAGCTGCCTCACCCTGTGCCCCAACCCCACCTTTGGGGGTCCAGGAGTCCAACCCCCTCACCTCAGGGTGGGATTAATTCCGTTCAGCCCCCCACTCCATCAGGCTGAGGCGGGTGTTCAGCTGAGATCACCCCCCCTTGGCTCCCCCCTGCCCTCCCTCCCTCCTGTGGCCCCTCCGCCTACGAATCGCGTGCACGAGGATGTGGTCTCAGGCTCTGCTCCTAGAAAACACCTGGGGCGGGGTCACTTTAAATGGACAGGCTGCTTCTGCTGGAGCAGAGGGCTCTCGGGCTCCTGGGGCCCTGGCCCACGGGTCCAGGAGTCCAACCCCCTCACCTCAGGGTGGGATGAATTCCGTTCAGCCCCCCACGCCATCAGGCTGAGGCGGGTGTCCAGCTGAGACCCCCCCTCTTGGCTCCCCCCTGCCCTCCCTCCCTCCTGTGCCCCCTCCGCCTACGAATCGCCTGCACAAGGATGTGGTCTCAGGCTCTGCTCCTAGAAAAAACCTGGGGCGGGGTCACCTGAAATGGACAGGCTGCTCCTGCTGGAGCAGAGGGCTCTTGGGCTCCTGGGGCCCTGGCCCATTCCGGGCTGTTTGCGCATCCTCCTCCGAGGGCTGGGTTTGTGTCGTGTGAAGAATGAGGTGTCTAGAACGCAAGGCCCATTCCCCCTGGGGAGCTTGTAATCCGGTTGAGCAGGGAAGATGCAGTCAGCAAACGCGGAAGAACCCAGGCCCTCTCCTGAGTCCCGCGTGGAGTGCTGGATGCAGGCCCGATGCTGCGGCTGCTCGGTGGGGAGCACTGTGGGCTGGAGTGGTCACCCCGCTGTTATTGAGAAGGGGTGCAAGCTGGGCTGGG